ATATATATATATATATATATATATATATATATATATATATATATATATGTGTATATGTATGTATGTATGTATGTGTGTATGTATATATATGTATGCAACATCTCTGTTAAACGAATTGAAATTGAAATATATACTTTTTTTATTTATCTCTCTTGATAAAAAAATTTCAAAGTGATTCCAGAGTGAATGAAATGAAAAAGAAAACCCCCTGAGGTTGCATCTGCAGGCAAAACACAAATGTTTACACCTTGTGCTTCTGCCCACGTCAAAGCTTGATATGGAAAATGTGATTGAGCTGTGTAACAACATTACTACAGTAGACACTCCTGCCGAGCTGCAGCGCTGCTTCGAGACACGTCCAGCTGTTTCCTGACTAGTGTGAGAGAATAATTCAGGGTTTGGAAGTGCAGTTATTCAGTGCACTGTCCCAATAGCAAACAATAGACTGAAAGAAAGCAGGCCTGATCTCCTCAAGAAGAGAAAATACAAACACAGGACAGTAAGATAGACTTAGATACCAGCCTCATATTTTATAGTGTGATTCTATGACTTTTCTATGAACCTTCAGCAATGGAGAAAATACATGATCAATGCCTCCTCTGAGCTGTTAGGTAACATACCTAATAGCTTTTAATATAGTGTGTCAAAACTGAGATAGCTTTTAATATAGTGTGTCAAAACTTTTAAATTAATTAATTAATTATTAAATTATTATAGGCCACCTAGTTACTGTAAGTTTCTCCTGTACCAATGTCTAATGAAATCTCTGTATTTTAGCTTAAATCTCTTCTACTATGGACTCATTTGTTTTATCAACATTTAAATAAAATGGAATTAAGTTACACAACTGATATTGCTTTTGTTAGCGATTTTTCGTCCTCTGATGACAGGCGCCGCTTGATTTTGTGAATAGTTATGTTTTTTACCTGATTAAGGAGGTCATTTTTGATTCATCTACTCCTCAAGTCTTACTGTTGGCAAAAGTTTTTCCTAAGATCAACTCTTAGCTGTAAAGCAAAGAGACTTTTTGAACCACGGGGACATTTTATTTGAGGTCAATATGGCTTCAACTAAAAGATGTTTGACGGTTACAATCTGTCACTTCTCTGGAAATTTGCTTTACACTCAATAAAACACAGCACAGGAGATTGACAGCTGGAGACCAGAAATACATGGCACGTTTCGACCCACAGAGAAAATATAGCCGTGTGTTGAAGGCTTGACAGTGACGGACAGCCATCACACGTAAAAACAACTCAAACAAAACAAAAAAAACTCTGCTTTGATCGACAAACCTCAGAAACAAATAAAACTGTATTAAATGGGGCTCCTGTCACTGTGACAGACTTGTCTTTTAATGATGAGGCGTAATTTAGGTTGACTTCTTTTGTGTCTTAATTTTAACTCGCTTTTAGCCATGTTTGTATTAATTTAACACCATTCACTAACTTTTACATTTTACTTATAATTAGGTTTGGGCTATTCTTAAGCTATTAGGCTATTGTGTGGATCATTTTTGGAGCAACATTTGGGTGACTAAGAGTGAAAGTTTAGTCTTCAGTTCTTATGGTTGTTATTATTTGTTGGTGATTATTTGGTCATTTCAGGCTAAGAATTAGCTCTCTCAACTATAGAAAATACCATATTAGCCTTTTCAGGCTAATATAGACACTTAATTTATGGAATCAGTCACATGCCAAAACAAACAGCAAAATCACAGTGTATACAGTGATACAGTATACACTTTTACTTCATCTAATTCATGACTAAAGATTGTGAACATCTTGTTTTCTGTACAAGCAGCTTCAGTTCTACCTTTAACAGACACTAACCTGCTTCGGAAAACTGCTTTCATTCAGGCATGAAGTGCCAAGGACAGTTTTGAGCATCATTTGATGGAATGTCTAAAAATAGTCATGCAGGTCTCAGTTTTATTACCGTTATAAAACAGCAAAGTATTGTTCAAATACCAGGAGTCTTGTATAACTTATTATTACCCCTGTTTCTCCAGTAGTACAGTTAGGAACAATACATTTGTGAAACAAATGTGTAGATGTGTTATTGTCATGAGGCATCTTCTCTTCGAACACTGGATTTGTTGCAACCAACTGCTGGAATGTTTGCTGGATTTTTAACAAGCTGTGGGCAACAACAACAAACAACAAACCAACCCACCCAATAAACATTCATCAAAAAACCACCAAATTTCTATGGCAAATAACCTTTAATGTTCAAGAAATATGTGAAGGTGTCAAACATATAACCAAGTAAACATAGAGCCTCGACCAAAGTCTGGGCCAAGACTTGCTTTCTTAGCACAGAAAATCCTTCTGTGACTAAAAATTTAGTGGATTGTTCCCATTTTTCTTGTTCCACTTATTCTGAAACGCTACGTTGTAGTTTTCATTCCAATTTTCAATACACCTACATATCTGGAAAACAAATTGTTGCCTACGTAAACACTCAAAAAACTCCTCCAAAGTTGATGTAACTTTTCACACGGTAGTGAAACCTGGAGGCAGTTTAGTAGACACTTTGTGTCAAATTGTGGACCCTGTGTCAGACCCTGTGTCCAGACCCTGTGCTGCCTGGACACCAGTGACTGGTGTGATCTACTGGTCCTGCTGGCACTGGCAGAGCTGTTTGTACGTAGAGCAGCAGGGCTGCAGCCAGGGCTTCCATATGATGTTCCCTGTGGACATCTGCATCTCCACAGGCTTCACTGATCTCTGGTGCTTCTCCACTGCCTCTGCCATCACAGCCAGGATGGAGTCAAACTCCGGCTCTGTGTCTGGCGTCAGGGGGGTGGTTTCTGACGGGTCCCTTGAGAGGTCAAAGAGCAGCGGAGGATCGTGGTAGGTCACATAATTTGGCCCGCAGTGGCAGAGGCTGGTGCTGGAACATGTAGTAGTGTTCTCAGGGTAGAAGTTTGGTGTGAAATAAAAGGCTTTCCACACGGAATTCCCTGAAACCAGAAAGTTAAATCAAAGTCCATTTTGGGAAAGACGACCTGTTACTTAGAGACCTAATCCACTGCCACTAACCCAAATTAAGAAATCCAATGTCAAATATATTTACTTTTAAGGCACTTGTGTCAAACTCAAGGTTCGCAGGCAATATCTGGCCCAAATCAAATATGCAGTTAGCATAAACTACATTTTGAGGCAGAGTCTACATTTTATTTTTTAAATTCATTATTTCTGGTTGAAGCATTGTAAGTTCTGATGGACTGTTCTAGAATTGTTGACCGTGTTCAGCCCACAACAAAGGCTGGGCTTTAGATTTCAGCACCTTGAGTGATTGTCAATGGTTACGTGATACTTGGCTTTTTAGGTTGATTTTCTAGGGTTCTTTTAGTTATGTTGTGGATCATATATAGCTTTTGTGCAGTATTATTAGCCAACATTCAGATATTTGGGAGCATACCTTTGGTTAATTAAGCTAACGTTGGGTTCCTGAAGTTAGCTAGGTCTGTGCATTCTAATTTCTCTGGCCACCTCTTAGATAGGATGGCTGAAAATCTATCATCCATCTCTGTTGGTGATGGACGTGGCTGACTCTTCCTCATCAACACCTGTTTTGGTGTTGACTTTTCCAACTTACTGTTCTGTGGACGCCATCTGACTGCGTTCAAGTACATGTTGCAGTAGTGAAACAGGAATTCATGGTTCGACCTTTCTATTTTTCCCTGAAGCAAATCCATGAGGTCACATCCGTCGATTTCTCTGGGAAGATTAAATATAGTGATTCAGCTTTTCTGAGATGTGGGTAATTTTGTGCAGTATATTGTGCAGTATTCATCAAAGGTCTTTTTTTGTGTATTTCAGTTTCCTTGGACTAACGTCAAGCTTACTTAAGTCTAATTATAAAGCTCTGTGTTGCCTGCTCTGCCTATAATAGCTAAATCCCACCTGTCTGCTGGGACTGAAGCTCCACTCAATCGTACCACTGTTGGAAAAAGGTCCATGTTGCTGGTGGGCTCATCCACTTCTATGCCATCAGGGATTTTCTCTGGCCATCTAAGAATTCCAGGCACTCTGATGCCTCCTTCCCAATTTGTACCTTTCCCTGCTGTTTAATGAGGGAAAAAAAGAAAACAACACAAGGTCATGAAAGTGCACCTCTTTGGACATGTAAATCTGTTGTTCCCTGCTGCTAACTTAAAGGAAGTGGCGTCTCCTTAAGACTGCATACTGGCAGAAATAAAAGAGCGGCACAGATACAGTCTGTCTGACAAAACATTCTCTGCCTTTGGAATGATCTCTTCTGGGTCCAAATGCAAAGATTACATCAAATCTCAGTCCAAACTCTGAGCCCCAGTCTGGCAGCATGAAATGAATCATTGACAAGTGTCTGCCGTGGACTGTCTGAGGACGCACCAGTTCACCTCAAGTCTGATACGAAATATTCTAACTTTAATTTATTTCTGCACTATCTACATGTTGTTAGTCGTCCAACAAGGAGAAGTTTTATCGTTTCCAGAGAAGTCTCCTCGAATTTTGAATTTTAAATATAATCTTTTGATTTATTCCGTTGTGCAGGGCTGCAGTTTAGGCGCCCTCTTCCTCCAAATGATATTAAGATCCCACAGGAGCTCCCGATGAATAAACACTGGATCAATTACATGAATATTATGCATGCAATAGTGTGAAATTACAAGTATGCATGCTTGTAAATAAAAAAAAAGTAAGTGGGTACAGCTTTGGTACACACTCACACACACACTGGATTGACCTTGAACTGGCTTCATAAAAATGACACTGAAGCTGTATTGAAACTGAATTCATTTTTGTTGCCTACCATTAAAGGGATGTTACATAGTTTAACTGGGTTTTCAGTTGCATAAAGCTGCTTCTATTTACAATAGTGTTTGCCCCTGAACATTTTGCAGACATTGAGTCCATGTAAGGCTCTGTATCTTTACAATACTGCCCTATTCACATCCTGCTCCAGTGTTTTGTCACATGCATTTAAAAAAAAAAGTTAAATGGTGTATTTATGTTCAATAAAGACTGTGGCATCTCAGGGACATGTTTTTTCATCGGGGAAAAATGTATTCCTTTTTTGTGTATACTGAGGTTATATACTTTGTGAATATATGCAGTAAGAAAATGTAGATATTTTCTGAGGTTATACCTTTATATATTCCATTGGATCCACTGGGGGTTTCCTCCAGATGAGCCCCCTGGTCAGAGGTCAAGTAAATCAGTGTGTTTTCCCTCAGATGCAGTCGGTCCAAGGTGTTGAGGATGTGACCTGGGAGCAGACAGGACATAAATGCAGGTAGATCACCAGGCTTTTCAAACACTAGAAAACCTGCAGAGCTAGAATATCAAGCATCTCTATTTACCAACAGTGTGACTCACCCTAATTGTAATGGGAATGAGATTCTCCTGTGTACCATTAAAGTAACTTCTTTTTCTAAACAGAATGGCAACTTACAAAGTAGTACTTTTGTCACATAAAAAGTGGCCTATTCAATATTTTGTAAAGACTAAAATGTATTCACACTGCAGAAAGTATTTTCGACACACAAAAAAAATATACCACCAGTATTTTTAGATATTGCCCGAGAGAGTTACAAACGCCATTTCCTAAAAATGAGTGCTTGACTGGCCAGGCTGCGGTCCAGATCTGTGCCCCCCCCCCTCTTCATCATATCTGGCATGTGATGAAGAGGATAATCAGACAAAGGCAAGCTGAAAGTGTCGAATAGATCCAAGTCATTTTATACAGAAAAATAGGCAAAACTTAATTTTCAAAGTGGCTGCAACTTTTTAAAAAAAATCTAATTAAATGTAATTGTTCACTGTACGTCTTTGACACTCCCACTCTCTGAGGTCTGTGCCCTTAATGATTAAGAAATAAAACCGTATATGCTAGGGAAGCGTTTAGGGTGTGATCATAAAATATTTGCATCGCAGTCGCAAGTAAAAAAAACAAAAAAAGACACGCCGGGACAAATGGTCAGTAAAATTTTATTACACACTATTGTATTTTCCTTTAAGCATCCTGACCGCGAGGTCCAGATCAAAAAGGCTTCTTGGCAAAAACTGGAGCCAGAAAAAAAAGACCAATCATTCAGCTGGCAAAAGACAGAGCAATTATTGCGCTCTCTACTTCTTTGTGCTGACACTACACACCTTGAGCTAAAATAACTGGAGTAATTACACATTCATTAGGAAAACAACCCCCTATGTTCAGTCCACTGTAGGGCGGGATCACATGGAGTCTCTGAATCTGTGCAGCAATTAGACTGAAATGAGCTATTTAAGCAAAATAAATAAATAAATAAATAAATGTCCCTGACCAGAATTCAGGAAACAGATGGTATTGAATGGATAGACTTTGTCAATTCCTTACACACAGATGACATTTTAATTTGTAGCCTGGATTTTGCCAGGATAATGGGAAAAAAGTCATTTAGAAGTAAAGGCAAAGAAAAAAATGAAATGGTCTAGTTCAGAGCATCAGTGACTCTCCTACAGTCCTTAGAGAAAATGAGTGTTTTAATGAGACAAACATAAATCCTGTTCTACTGCTGCCGTGTCTGGTGCACTGTCTGTTACTACGTTGAGTTTAAAAGAAGGATTTAAAGTCACCAAATACAACGGTTTCATCCTGTAATGCTGGGCAGCAGTACAACAACAACAGGTGGTTTGAATGAAAACCAGGTGTTGTAAATGTATTTAACCAGAATAAAGTAGGTGTAGGTGGGATCAGTAACTGTTATTGACGATGGCATTACCAACACTCCAGTCCACCTCATGGATTGCGTCTCCATAGATTCCGTGCTGACTCGTTCCTCTGAACGCTGCAGAGGCGAACAAAGCTGTGTGGACTTGGAGAAAAGAGAAGAAGAGCAGAAAGGGCTTCGCTGAGTTCCTGCAGGAAACAGAAGAATGAAATATATATCATCACTACAGTTATACAGACTTATTTCACATCTTGATATTTACCTCTGTATGAAATCCGCTGCCTCCTGAGTCATCCTCTGTGTCAGGTTTTCAGAGTGGAATGGCTGCTCCAGAACTCTGTGGTTCCTCATAAGAACACAGTTAAAATAGGGGGCTAGAGTGATGAATCCCAGGATCAGACCTGTGACCAGGAGCAGCAAAGACAGCAGGCACAGGATGAGCCCTCTGTGAATGATGATGATTCCAAAGTAGTGGAGGAAAACAGCAGTGGCCAGGACAACAGTTATCTCCCTGTATGGTAGGAACTTATGTACAACAAAAACAGTGCCATGTCCTGGTTGACAATCCCTCAGGTTAGTCAGGGGGATACCAAAGAAGTAGCTGAAGCCATGGATACCAGGGTGGTGACAGTGGTCGTCACTGCGTTCACAGTTAAGACCCAGATGCCATTTTCCTGGGACAGACAAAAACAATTGACAAAATCATGACAAAGGCACTGCAGAAATGACGAACAATACAACAAAAGCTTTGCCTGACTACCGAGGCTTTTTTTTTTTTTGACAAACTAGCTACGAATACTTTGGTCTTTAACAGCCTTAAAACAGCTGAAGAGTCTGCTTTGTCTGGAAACTTAAGGAAAGGAAAGGAAAGTGCTCTCCTTGTCATTGTGACCTCTGAGTTTAACCCATTACCAAAATGAACAGTGGGCAGCATTGGGGGATGGTGCCATGCTCAGAGCACTTTGGCAGCTGGTGGATTCAAACCTGCAACCTTCCGGACCCAATCACTAAGCCACCACTGCCACTTAAGTTTGTAAACAGCTCCCCCCAATACCAAAGTCCATTTAGAAAATCAGCACTTTTAGTTAACAGGAACAGTTCCAACAGAGTGTCAAATAAGTTTCTCTTATTAGTAACAAATTACATATAAGCTAAGATTTCAAGTTTACATTCAGCAAAAACAGACGAACATTTGTGACAAACCTATGAGAGCTGTTTCATAGCCTTGTTCTTTGACAAGCTTGGCAAAGGTGAGCTCTTGGTCTGTAAGACCTCCGCTTGCTGCAGTAAATATGAAGACACCCGGTGGTATTTTATTTACTATACCTGTTGGAGAGAACATTATCAGGAAAATACTACTATTAATGTAATTGTTGAATCATCCCGGCATGAAGTCAAAACTGTTTGGGCATGTTCTCTACAAAAAAAAAGAAAATCCAATGAATCCTTGTTGTCACCTGCAGTGCCACCTCAGGCATTTTGTCAGTGATATACTGTAGATCTTTATATTAATATATATATTTACATGGGTGTGTTTGTACAGGCCTGATCTTATCGGGTAACGTCCGGTGAGGAACGCCGCCCTGCTGGGGGTGCACAGGCTCGCTGCAGCGATGTGATGAGTGAGCTTGACGCCGTCCTGAGCCAACTGATCAATATTTGGCGTCCTGCAGAGGAGCAATTCATCAGACGAAGGTTAGGATGATTTCAAATATTTTTCTCTGTGGCTTTGTTTGAAATGTTTGAACTACTACTTCTGTTAGTTTTTCTTATCCTTAAATCCTTTCTCTATGAACATCCCCAGAGAAAATCAGCATTTTAAGCTCAGAACTGGAACTGAAGCTTTTGTTGGAAAAAAACTCACTTGCTAAAAGTCGGCGTTGGTTTAAAAGATTCTTTGTCTACAGTATATGTTTGTTCTTTGACTTTTAGTGCCGGGTATAGAATATTTAGTTTGCAGTCAGAAAAGGCTGGTGGAAAAGCATATGTGATGATGCAAGTCTTTTTTAGTGGCAGTTTTTACACAACAAAATGAACAACAGTTCAACAAAACAAAAAGTGCCAAAGTGTTGTTACCTCACTGTTTTATTGCCATAGCAGCCCAGGTCTCCAATCCCCAGGTCATCCACCATTATCAGGATAAAATTGGGCCGGCTGCTTGTCTGAGGATTGAAGCCATACACCTCCGACAACAGCAGCAGTAAAAGCATCTGAGTTGACAGTATTAGTGGAAAGGCCATGTTGTCTGGGACGAAATACTGCAAGGTGATTCACAAATAAAATGAAGTCTAGTACTGTAAACATAAATTTAAAGGAAAAAAACCCACTGATTATTCTACAGTAACATACTGTGGACCATAGAGAAAGTCAGTATTTTCACCTCGTGGGGATATGTTCCTGGGCAACTCCTAAGAGGTATGGACCAAAACTGCTGACGTTCTGTATGGAACACCAGAGAATAAATCATTCTAACACAAGGATCACACACAGAACCTCAAACATGGCTGAACAAACACCAACGCCAAACACAGCAGTATTTTCTAACTGAATAGTACTGCAATAAATAGCATCTGTTATAAAACTGCATTATTCTATTCTATTCTAGTCAATGCTATTCTATATGAATTACACTAACTATGAGATCAACTAAACACACTTTTATCACGTACAATAATAAGCAGATAAAAATGATCAAGTCAGTCAAGCCTCAATGGACTTTACAGTTTTTACATTAGCCCCACCCCCCCACACACATACAAACACAAAACAGCACCTGCAACGGAGCTGCAATGTTTATTTTTTTATAGTAGCAGTTAAACGATATATCGCTGCTATATAACTGCTATATATCTCACCAAACATTTTTATTTGTTAAATTTCATTGCACGCATTCAAAAAAATACCTTTTAACCCCTACAGTAAAACACTTAATAACAATTAATAAAGCGATAATAACCCAGTAGTGAGCGAAATCTAATCCAAATAATGTTGATACGGAACTGAGCTGGTGGGAATGTTAACCCTGAACGCTTTAGACAATTAACGAATGGTACAAACATTGGTAATAAACGTTTTTGACAACATTTCATTTTATTACTCGATTCATTTTATTTGATGTTGTCATTCATTTTTAACTCGACACATTCCTGTGTAAAAACAAACCGCGTGGCGACATGTGTTTTAGCCTTTTTAGCCAAGTCTTAGCGTCTTACCGTCTGTCCCTGCAGTGAGAAGTCATTGGATTTATTCACTTGTCATAGTCTCAATTTAAGTTTATTTGTGGAAGTCCGAAGTTCAGCGGACGTTCTCGGCTTCCGCGTTACTTCCGCTATTCAGCCAAACACATCCGCATATTATTGAGGAGCTCAATAATAAATAGTCCCTGGTCGTGTTTCCCAGCATGCCTGTGGGCTGTAGTTTTTCAAAACCTGGAAGGAAGGACGTGGAAGGACAGGCTGGAAACTGAACGTGGAAAGTTCTTTTCCTTTTTTTCTTTTATCTTAAATAAAAATATCTGAGCAGTTCTCACGTTGTTACTAATAAACATATCTGTTAAACTAAACACGAACACGTGAAAAAATAGTAACTCATTCAAATTGCTGCCCATTCCATACGTAGACCAGTGAGAGTTTTGCTATGTTTTGTATAACTATTTATTCCTGGATGGCTTCTAAGTTATAAAACATCCAGGTCAATAAATGTGTTATTCACTAATTATAATGGCTTTCATTCATTGCATAAAAATGCATCTTAATTATAGTCTTAAGTATCACAAGATGAGCAATAGCCCTCTGAGAATGTTTACATTATCAAATGTGGGCTGAACTGATAAACATATGAACTTCTTTGACTTAAACAAAATACCTTCATATGAAGATAATGATGTAAGGATCCTCCTAGATATGTGTAATAGTGAAAGAACAATCTCTGGTGGAGTTTTCAACCCCAAAAGCATGTGACAGAATTATTTCTGCACATTCTTTGACAGTCCTACTGTAAAAAAATTCCCAATAATAAAACATTATTACAGCCAGTGTGTTGTTTGCTCACCTACAACAGTGTCCCTGGAGTGTAATTCTTCTTCTACTCCCTCTACAGTCAGTGTTTAATTTCCCATGGACCCTCTCCCATCTCAGTTCTCTACCATTTTTGCTCTTGCTTCTTATTTCTGGCACGTCAGCACAAAATTTCCCTACTCCTTTGTTGCTGCTTATGATTATGCATCACCTTAAGTGGTAGGGTGGAAGGATAGACAGTGTCGGGAATTGTGCTAAAAGGCAAAGTAACAATGTTTGTGAAATGCTTTTTGCTGAAATAATAAAATGGAAAAGGGGTAATATGATGGTTTCCAGGCAGCAGACACATTGTAGAATGACATCACGGTTTTCATGTTAAGCATAAAATAGAAAGGCAAACAGCAGGTGCAAAAAAGCTGGTAACTGTGGTCAGCGTGCAGTAAAGCAGAAAATAAAATATTTAGATAGCATGGACTACACAGCTGAAGATATTAGTATTATTATTATTTTTTTTTGTCTGTTCACTTATTAAAGTTGTTATTGATATTGACAACATCCAAAGTGGCACAAAGTTTAATGTGAGATCTGATTTTTCAATTCTGCCGATGATATATTTTTAAGCAATAATTATTGCTTAAAAATAAAAATCCTAAAAATCTCACTGTCTCTTTCTCACTAAAATATACTCACCGTGGGGAAAATATCATGCACGTTAAGCAGTGCTTTCTGTCCTTATTTATTTTAAGTCCTTGAATATTTCCACAGTAATACTAATAATATTTTTGTGATGCCATGGTTTGGCTCACAGAGACGGCGTCACACCGTTGACCAGTTCACCTGGTAATTAAGTACTTCTTTGTCACAACATTTTCAGAGACATGATTTGCCAATAATAGCGTCCACATGTACCACTCGTTATCAGTGTCATGTCTTTGGTTTTGTCCTACCAGCCCAGTACAAGTACATGTCTTGTTATTACTTACATGATGCAATAATTGAGCACAGAGACGCCATGCAGTGTGTTGGTGTGAGTGCAGATTGTTAAACAGTTCATAAATCCTGCCTTACTAACCCCAGCGGCAGCTGCTGACGCACCATAAACACCTCCATTAGTCTGAGTTTGGGAGGAAACTTAAGTGTCTCCTCTTGGCTTTTGGGAAAATTTTGGCCATGATGAGAAACTTAAAGAAATTAAAGGGCAGTTTAGATAAAGGAGGTACTCTTTATTGACTCGTCCTCTCAGCTCATACGTGCACTACTAAATCTTGGTTGAAAGGTTTAGAGGCCTTCCACTATTAGCAGTGGCTGCAAGGCCAAGAGATCTGGTGGTACGTGTGGTTGTCGTAAACTGTACTTCTTTGCACCAAACTCCGACACAGGAGTATTGTTGGTCTAAGCTTGCCTTAATCAGCATTTTTTTTTATTTCCCTAATGAGGTTGACGTAAGCCAGACACATGATGGCCCTGCGAGCTAGAAATGTTGATTTTTCTCCATGGCCTTTGGTGTGGGAGAGTGAGCAGTAAACAAACATCTGATGTTGGTTTGAAAAGGCAGTTGAATATACTGTAGCGACTAAAAACACATTTATTCAGTGTAATGGACCAAAACTGGCATTGGTTTTTACGATGTCAGTTTTTTGTCTTGTGGCTAAAATCAGTATTTTTTGCTGGAAGTACAATATGGTTAACTCTAAAAACATACAACTAATGCCTTCCAGGTAGCATGGGTCATTTAGATCCAGAGCGACCATAAAGTTTTCACCTTTGAGTTATCAGTATAGCCCTGATGTTGACAAAATAGAGGAAGATATAATCCCATGAAAACAAAACTAAATAATGTCATATAAAATTCTTTTCAATTTATAAAAACTACAAAAGGGGAATTCTCACAATCTCATAGAAAGATGTGGCCTGTGTGTAAGTAAGGCATAATTATATTTATCTCTCCTTGGCTTACAGCAGGTAAAGGCCGGAGGCACACACTGACGAGAGGGCAAATCGGCCAATCCTTATAGCATCCTCATAAGGACGTTTCAAGGTCATGTAGATAAAGTTTATCTGATCAAAGATCAAATCTTGCCTTTAGATCAAGGGGAAAAGCTGTCAAATGTGGAGCCAGAAGCGAGCGAGGAAGGAAAAGGAATGTGAAACAGTGAAATTAAAGGCACTAAAGAGAGACTGGAGTAGAGAGAGAAGGATATGTGGGTGTGAGGAAAAAATAATAAT